CAAACGTTTTTATAGAAATTTTTTTAAACATCATATAAGAAGGAGCAGAGTCATCAAGAATTTCTTTCTGGCTTTTGTTGATGATAGAAGTGGTGAAATATCCAAATTAGAGAATTTGTTAAAAAACTTTATAAAAGCATTACTAGCAGAATTTGAAAGTTGATATGTATTAATTATTACTATAAACTCACGATAGGTATCGTTAGGCCATTTGACTATTTGAGATAATATAAGTCATTATAAGCATCTTCAAATGAAGCTTCTTCATAGTCATTGCTACTTTCAACAGAATTAGTTAATGGATATTGTGATTTATAGCAAACATCATCAATTGGTGATTCTTTATCGTCTTCAAAATTATTTTTATCAGATATATTTTGAAATATTTCATCTTCCATCAAAAGAGACATATTATTTGTTGAAAGTGGCTCTGTTTCTATAGAAGAAAACTCATTCGAACTTAATTCAGATTGAGGTGACATTAAAATATTTTCGCTCTAAAATAAAAGTAATCATTTTATATCGATTATACTCTTATTAGATCATCTAACCAGCTTATCTCAGAATCTGTAAAAGAATCATAACTAGAGCTATATTCTGAAATATTCCAAATATCATCCAGTGGCTCATTTAAAACAGTTTGGCTTGTAGTAGTTTGGTTATAAGGATGTTTTCGTGAGATATGTTGTGATAAAGCATAGAATTTTGAAAATTTTCGTATACAATACCCACACTTCCAACATATTTTAAACAAAAGTTAGAAATAAAAATAAATAGAAATAAATAGAGTGAAATAGAAGCGATAGAAAGAAAAAAGAGATAAATAAAGAGCAAAAAAGATAAATAGAGAGTGATGTAGTAAAATATTAGTTTATTGCATATAATAGCGGTAATAGAAGATTAAAATATAAAGAAGATTTAAAGAAATTAATAGTTATATACTGATATTTATCGATTTTAATCGATTATTTTTCTATCAAAACAACAGAACCTAATAATTAATTAAATGACGCGTAAAAATAAACTTTAGATTATGTTATATATTGATGTTTTAATTTCAGCAAAAAATGATATATACGTGTTAAATCTTAGCGATTATATAATGACCAAAACAACTAATGAGATAAGTATACTTTCTTTATTATTTTTATAGCAATTGACATCATTAGATACTTATTCTTATGATCTAATTGTCCAAAACCTTTTTTTTTAGATATATAAGTCTGCTCATTTTAGTGTTTGAAAGGTAGAAACATTTTTGAAAAAATATTTTTGAAATTTTGAAAATGAAAAATAACTCTAATAACAACTCTAATAACCGCTCATCTTCTCTTTATTCTGCTATCCTTACTAATATAACTCGCTCTTGTTATAATACACATACTATATCTAATATCGCTAGACCTCATCAACCACCTCACTCATCTTATAATGATAAATTGGATTCTGATACATCTATTATAAGTATGCATAATAATTTTTCTAAAATGAGTAGTAGAGATAGACAATGCCAATCATCCTATCCAACCGAACCAAGACAATCTAGACAATCTAGACAATCCAGACAATCCAGACAACCTGACCAACCAAGTCTTTCTAGGCAACAATTTTCCTCCCAATCTACATGTTGTGCATCAAGATTATTATCACCACAGCAAACACAGAAAAGATCACTATCACTTAATCTATGATCTTCGAATCGAATGCAGCGGGATCTTGAAAGGAAAAAAATAGTTTTTTTTTTTGGTTTTTGAATGTTTTTTTTTTTTTCTGGCCTTTTTTTTTTTTTTTTTGAAAAAATTTTTTTTTTTTTTTTAATCTTGAGCTTATTCAAACCTCTGCTGCTGTGAAACTAAAGACTGAGAATGTCTTTTTGCTTAAAACTGTCAGCTATATCTCCTAATCAGGAAGTTAAGCGATGACTTTCAAGAGTTCAGGAATAAAATAAGATCACAAAAGAATCAAGGCAATCAAGGTGATGATCTTTCACCAAAAGTGTGGGATATAAGTATTGTGAGAAAGCAAAAGAGTAATTCATGAGATTTTGGATACTTTTAAAAATATTTTTGGATATTTTATATTTTGTAGAATGTGTATATTAACATTGTGAAATGCATGTTTTTGTGTATAATCTATCCCATCCAAGATGAATTAAAAGAGGCCATCAGAGATTACCCGAATAAAAAGTTTTCCAGTTTTATGGCAAGTCTAAATGCAAACGATTTTACCAACAGGTTTCATAGTATCTGGTATACTCAGGTAATAATATTTGTATGCCTATTTTTAATCAATTTCAATCATTTCAAAGTGTTGTTTTATGGTTCTTTATTTTTTTCAATAGCTCTTACAAAAAATGAAAAACCTTTACAACGCAGCACTGCAGAATGTTCGTTTTGCAATTTGGAGTACATTTGGTCACGAAAAACTCCTTTTCTGAAAAGCAATGCTGCCTCTGCGGATATAGTCACTTAGAAGCAAAGCAACTAAGTGAATGATTGCTATCATTCGCTTTATAAGCAAAATGAGGATAGAATTTTGTAGATTGCTGTTATAACAAGAGATGCATTCACTATAGCCACTATCTCTGTTCTCATCAACTATCACTGTGCGTTCACACTTGCTGTGTGTGATATTATATTAAACCTGCGGTCAAAAAATATCATTTGTAGTAACAAGAGGATTAAGTATCGTATAATGCAATATTTGGCAAGTAATTGAAATAAATCGATTTATATAATTACAACAAAGCAATGCTAACTTTATTTATTATACTAGGATGATTTTAATAATAGTGGTCCAAGCCAAGAGTCAGTGAATAGAATTGTAAGTAATAAGCTTGCATCAAGCTCACACGATGGTGAACAATTAAATCAAGCCTCTACCAACCCTGATCCTAACTTTGAATTTGTTCCTGCTGCTCTATTTCGCTCCCAAAGTAATTCAATAATACTTTCGCAGGATGAACAGGATGAGTTGTTTGGTATTAACAAATAACGTTTTTTTTTTTTTTACGATAGTGCTTTTTTTTTTTTTTTACAATAGCATTTTTTTTTGCAAATATTTATGTATTATATGTATTATTTGTTAACAAATAGTAATAAAAATTTTTTTACATATTGTATATTGATAAAATAAAATTTGATAGCTTTTTAGTTTTAAAAATTTAATAGTTCTTGTAATATTTACGATAGTAATTGCTGCAGTTTTAAATATAGTGATTTTTATTGTTTTGCTTTTAATGATTAAACCGATTTATAGCGATTTATATCATTTTATTACATTATATATCGATTTTTATTTTATTTAGTTAGATATCGATTTGTATT